CTGAAGAAGGATCTAGGCCCGAAACGTCAGCCTTCCTGCTCCTCTGATGCTGCTTGGCCTGCTGTGTTCATCCAGCTCTACACCTTGTTATCTCAAACATTTTAACCATATTGCTATTTTACTGCAGGAAAATGCAGCACCAATTGGTGCAGATAAACTCCTACAAACAAAAATAGTGAAGTGACCAGGTAATCTGATTTTAGTTTAGGTTTTGATCAGGGTGTAAATATTGGCCAGAATAACCAGAACAACTCTTGCACTTTTTCAAAATAGTGCAGAGATCTTTTATACATCAGTGGTTCCCAAACTTTCTTACCATTTGTAATCCCATTTTCATGCCTGATAATAGCTGTGACCGTTCATTTGTGGGATTGGGATTAAGTATGGGAGCAATGTTGTGACCTACTGTGAGGAAACATGTATTATATCCACCCAAGAGGAAAGACATGGCTTAAAAGATGTTAGCTGTAACAATGCAGTACTTCCTCAATACTGGACTGGGATTATCAGTCTTGATTTTTGCGTTCATGTCCTGAAGACTTGAGCCCTGAACCTTCTTACTGAGTGGTAAGTGTGCTACCATTTGGGTCACATCTGATGCACTGGGAGTCCACTCAGTGCAGAAATGTTTGAAAGCCAAGGATGCAAGTGGATGTCCAACCTACCTTCTGATTCCAGGAAATAATCTGTATTAAATGAATTCCAATGCTTTTTCGTTTTCAAGCAAGGTGAATCAAAGTCTTGGCTGATCACGTGAAGGTGAATGTGGCTGAAAGAGCATGGGAGAAAAGAAAAAAAATTAAATGTTTGATATCTTTCTGCTTTCAAAGACAACCAATAACTACAATACTGCGATTAAGTTACAACAGATGTTCTGTCTAAATTGAGTTTAGTTCAATTTTGATTATCTCAATGAAGAGTATACAATTCTTAAGGTTATTCAGAGTTTGTTTCCCTGGCTGAACTTGAATTCACAGTCTCAGAATAAGAGATCAGCCACTTCAGGATTGAGATGAGATTTTTTTTCACTCCGATAATCATGAACACTTGGAATTCTCTACCAAAACTTGTGGACGTTCAGTTGTTGAGTATATTCAAGACCAAGATCAATGTCAACACCATGGGAATCAAACATATGGGAGTAGGTTTTAAAGGTGGAGTTGAGTAGAACATCAGCCGTGATCTTAAAGAATGGCACAGCAGATAGAGGAGATCTTGAAACAATACCAGCTCCTATTTCTTCTGTTAACAGCAACGATAAAAACTGCAAACTAAGATCACAAGTATTAATCTCAGAACTGCCATTAAGCAATCCAACTATATTTCATTAAGACCAAAAATATGGTTTGTTTTTACACAGCTATACTTACTCTGAATTATACTTAAACACCCATAAACATCAATTTTGATATCCTACTATACAACTGATAGTGATCCATGAATCAGAAGATTACGGATTTCAACCTACACAAGGATTTCAGCATTTAGTGCAGCATGTGTAGTAGAAAAGTGTTCTTATTTCCCTTTGAGATTAATATTAAGCAGAGACCCTACTTGTTGGTATAGTTCAGGTAAACGTTAAAAGTTTCAGTTGTGATATGTAGAACCAAGGGCTTTTCAGTACTTTTGACCGATGTTGGTCCCTCAGTTAAAGCAAATGGATTGGTGATGCAAACAGTAACTATTTGGAGGTCCTTAATATGAGAAAAAAAATGGCAAATGACAGGCATTCCACTCAAAGTAATTCACTATAAGTAAAGCAAAGTTTCTTGCAAGTGCAATAAGGCATCACGTAAATGGGAGTCTACCTTAATGCAGTCTGCAGGCCAATTTAAAACTATGTATTTTAATACAATTACACATAGGACGGAATATTTTACAAGATGCTCCAAGTATTCACTTTATTGATTGGTCACTGCAAAACCTTGAAGCATGAGCTGATTTTAAATACTTCCAGCAAGGGGCTGGACAGAGATATCAATGTGAAAACAAATTTCTCTCACCTCATGCTGGGAATAGCGTGGTAACCCAGCCGAAATTTCAATGTGTCAGTATCCAGACATTCTTGCACCAGCTTTTGGCCAACTTGGTGCATGTGTTGAAGTAGAGTTGAGTGATCCCTCCTCACAACCTTCAGATTGGAGATAGATTCCCATGGCAAAACCAGCCAATGAAATCGGGCCTTTGGATATTTGTCCTTAATTACAACAACTTTATCATCTTTATACACCTGTTGGAGGGAGAAAAAAATAGTGGCACCGATCAATAAAAGTACAAAGAAACATAACATTATGTTTTATATTACATTAATATATTGGTCCTTTCTTCCCATCACCCCATCAGTACCACCCCATCCCCACTCAACCCTTTTTGGAAACATTTTATGGATACTAATGATTAGCAACCCAGACAGCACACATGGAGAGGAAACAGAGATGGTTTAGCAGGAAGGAGCAGAGTGCAAATGGAATAAGTAAACCTAGAATAATAAGCTTGCAAATTTGAGAGGGGGGGGTGGGGGAGCAGAAGTGGGCAATATCCCAGGTTCTGTTTGCCTCACTGAGCTGCAGTTTTCAATGTCGGCAATCTTTCAATTGCTGAGTATATGATACAAGCATAGAATTTTACAGTTCAGACTCAGGCCATTCAGCCCATCCACAAGCCTTTCCCACTATTCATATAGTCATACAGCACAGAAACAGACCCTTTGGTCCAATCAGTCCACGCCGAACATAATCCCAAACTAATCTGGCACTCCCCACCCGCGAAACAGCCTATATCCCTCCAAACATTTCCTATTCACATACTTATAGAAGTGTCTTTTAAACATTGAGACTGTGCCCACATCCTCTACTTCCCCAGGAAGTTGTTTCCACATGCGAACTACCCTTTGTGTAAAAAAAACATTTACCCCTCACATCTTTTTTAAATCTCTCTCCTCTCACCTTAAAAATGTGCCCCTTAGTCTTGAAATACACCATCCTGGGAACCTACAATTAACCCTATCTATACCTCTCATGATTTTATTAGGTCACCTCTCAATCTCCTATGCTCCAGTGAAAAAAGGTCCCAGCCTATGCAGCCTTTCTTTAAAACTCAAACCTACCATACCCAGCAACATCCTGTATATCTCTTCTGAACCCTCTCTGGCTTAATATTCTTCCCGTAACTGGTCTCATCCTATTCATACATTCTACCATTCCTTTCGCCCTCATGGGTATGTCTAGCTTGGTTTTATCTAGCTTCCCCTTAACTGCATCTCTGCTTATCATATCAGTTACTCCATGGTTAATAAGTTCCACATTTTCATCACACTCTCTGGGTTAAAGAGCTTCTCCTTCATTCCATTTCCAATAATTACTGACTATCCTAGATTTGTGACCCTAGTTTTGGTCTCCTACACAAAAAAAAGTGTTTACCCGATCAAACACAATTCATAATCTTAAAGATCTCTATTTGATCACCTCTTAACCTTCTTTTTCCTAGAGATGAGATTTTGATTGTGATGAGCTGAGAAGACAGTTAGTCAGTAAATGTGGTTCTGTGGGTACCATGGAGGGAACATAAACTGTGGAACCTTCACCGATTATTACCAGCTCCAGTTGGCACATTTACTATATGCTGCATCTTGAAGAAGTGCTACAATAATTTGAAGAATAAGGCATGGATAAGGTGAATGGCCAAGGTCTCTTTCCTAAGGTGTGGGACTCCAAAACTAGAGGGCATAGGTTTAAGGTGAGAGGAGAAACATTTAAAAAAGACTGGAGGGGTAACTTTTTCACACAGAGGGTGGTACATGTTTGGAAATGAACTGCCAGAGGAAGTGGTGGAGGTGGGTACGATTATAACATTTAAAAAGCATCTGGATGGGTATATGAATAGGAAGGGTTTATAGAGACTTGGGCCAAATGGGACTAAGTCAGATTGGGACATCTAGTTGATGTGGGCGAGTTGGACTGAAGGGTCTGTTTCCGTGCTGTATAACTCTATAATAAAAAAATGAGATGAGTGCGAAGAGCCTCATGAAGCACAAACAACAGTTGTGCCGAGGAGCCTGTTTGTGTGCAATGAGCATGGTGTAACTCCATGAATCACCCATTTTCATCCCTTTCTGACATATATTTAGCAATTGACAAAACACTATCTTTCAGTGTGTGTCTGTCTCACTCAATGTAAAAGTTGAAATTTTATTTTTACAAACATGATACAAAGAAAGCATGATAGCTTTTGGGGAAAAAAAGATTAGTACCTGCATTTTGGGATCCTGCATGGAGATCTTTAGCCCCTGGCTCCACATTCCTTGAAAATCCTAAAAGGGTGAAGTAGAAACATGCTTATGCAACATATTGATGTTTGGACAATAAATATTTCTCCCTCTAGATAATTATAATGACAAATATGTTTTATTTTCTTAATTCTCTCTGGATGTTGATGTTACTGGTAAGGTCAGCATTTATTATCCATCCCCAATATCTTCGGTGAAAGTGCTGGTGAACCATCTTCTTGACTATAACTGATCACCGTTATTTTTATTCCATATTATTTAATTAATTGAATTGAAATATTCCTAAAAAGAGAGCCATGTTGTTGAAGCTTTTCACCTTCCACTGATCAAGACAAACACAAAAATGCCAAATTTCAAATAATCATAACAGTTCTATTACAGGAGAAAGGGAGTAGACTGGTTAGCAAGTCAACTGATTGGCCAAACACTGCCACAGAGAAAGCAATGAGGAACTATAAATTGCCAAGCTCTTGAGTAATTCAAAAGAGGTACAAGACTTGAACACATTTCTGTGTTTGCAGAGCTGCCACATATGAATGAATGTCACTTTGAGCAAGCATAAATTAGCCATGGTAAATTTAAATTACCCAGTTGATGAGCTGTGATTTGAACTTGTGTCTCTAGCTCAAAAGTCCAGGAATCCAGATTACTAGTAACACAACATTCATCATAGTGTATCCCTAATCATACATATTTGTGAGCAGACTATAACTTTATCAATATGTTGTCTTTCTCTTGTTATTGGACTGATAATCCTGAGGCCCAGACTAAATTTTTGGGAGCATGGGTTCATATCCCATCGCAGTAGCTGGTGGAATTTAAATCAAACGTAAGAAAATTTTAAATTGAAAACTAGTCTCAGTAATGGCGGTCACAACAATCATCCCTGATTATCATTAAAACCCATTTGGTTCACAGGAAATCTGGAGGAAATCTGCCATTCTTACTGTTTTGGTGACTCCAGACCACAGAAACAGTCAACTCCTAACTATTTTATAAAATGGCCTAGCAAGGCACTCTGTTCAAGGGAAATAAGGGATAGGCAATTGATGTTGGCCTTACCATCAACACCCACATCTTGTTAGAGAATGAATTTTTAAAAAACAAACTTTTAAAAGTATACACATCATATAAAACAGGTGGGCTATCATCCCATTGTCAAATACACGAGTTACTAGAGTCTTGCATTGGGAGGAAGTGGACACATAGACAACCCCACTCTTCCTGGTCAAGGAAAGGTACTTTTTGCCAGACTTTAAAGTTTTTAAAAATTATAAACAGACATCAGCAAATAAATTGAAGAATACTGTACTCTGCTTTTTCAGAACTAAAGTTTTCATCCAGCCAAGACTTTCATCATCATTGTTAAATCATAAACCACTTGAGGCTGGATATTCATTGAGCAGCAGCTAATTTTTAAGACAAGGACCAAACCCTGCTTGCCATTCACTGCATCTGTATCCTTAATTTGTGGACTTTAACAGAAATGACGGTCAAGGGTCAGTTAGTTACAGAGAGAAGAGACCAGGCAGTGAGGTATAAATGGAGGTGGTGATATTTAAAATAATGTTACATAAAGTGGGCCGAGTTAACCCTAGTTAATCAATTACTTTTCTTCCCGAGGCGTCAGAAGAGTTCACCGGAGTCACGGAGTCACTGCTATTTTCTGCCTTACACCCATCTTTGGTCTTCTCTTTCTTCGCTTCAGACTCAGAATTAAATGTGTGATACTGCCTTGGATTGGAGTCCGCAGTCTTCAGATGTTTATTTGACACACTGGAGCCACTGTTTGGAGAAATCTCTTCATACGTCCTCTTTAGTGACAACGCATCCCCGTCTGATGTCCCTTCTTCAAACCTTATGGTGTAGGGGTAGAGCTGATTGACAACGTAAAGGTCCTGTCCTGGTTTTAATTTCACCTCTTGATCTCTTTTCAAGTCTTCAGAATTGACATTGCTTGGATTTATGCCCAACTTTAGGGTTGCATGGTTAGGGGAGGGAAACAAAAGAGAGTTATTTTCCTGAACGTGTTGAGTACTTGCAATATTTTTTGTTTAGTTTTCATACCAATAACTTCCACAGAACCTTGCCTCAGAATTATTTGTCCAACTCTTTTGGGAGGAGGAGTATATTGATTTTAAGCTTCATTAATGGCTCAGGAAAAATTTTTAAATGAAAACATATAATAAGCACAACAGAACAGAGCCATAATACTTCAGTAAAGATTAAAGGATCCAGTCTTGTATATAAATCCACCATTTAATCCTTTCAGAGAATTATTTTAATCAATCAACTAATAGGAAATTAATCAGTATTCGGAACAGAGTAATTATTCTTCATGGAACATGCATCTTAAAACAACAAGCAATCTTTCTGACAACCACCTGTTTAATTAGTGTATTATGCTAAAGATTGATTAATGCACTGTAATGCCATACTTAAGAAGTTCAGAGCCAGGAATCTCATTGTTTCAGTGTTGGCTGTTTCAAAGAGTCGTCTCATTAACCTTTGCTTTCTCCCTTTCACGTATTTATCCAATTCCCTTTTGAAAGTTACTTTTGAATCTGTTACCACCACTCATTCAGGCAGAACATTTTAGATCATTAACCATTGCTTTAGAAATAAATCAATCACCTCGCCCCAAGTTCTTTTGCCAATTCTGTGGTAATTATTTAGAGTTGTATCCTCGGATTACCAACAGTCCTGATGGTGAAAGCAGTTTCTCCTGATCAAATCCGCTCATACATTTGAGCAGATCTGTTCAATACATAACAACAGTGAAAAAAGCAAAGCAGAGATACTTACCTGTTTTACAAGAACATATCCCTTATTGTAATCTGCTTTCAGCTGTACTGGAAAACAACAGTACAAAAATGGTAACATTAATTTTCCACATCCAATTAAATTCCATTTTAATTTCTTAATATATCCCTTCCTCTCAATTATGAGCCAGGGCAAGAATACCATTAATAGAATTTTTGATAGTTTAAAAAAAATCATAGAATGAATGAACAAGGTGAGTACATTCAGCCTATCAGACATATGCCAGCTGTTTGTAATTAGTAAAATTCAATGGATTATATCTTCATTCTCACACTTCATGCTGCCAAATCTATATACTGAAAACAATATTAAAAATTGGAAGTACAAACAGTAATAAAAGTTCTGCATGTCCCCGGACTCATCAGTAAGTCATAAAAGTTGGAAATCCCAAATATTAATGACCTACAACTGGCCCCCACAACAAACTTGTAGCATGGATTAGTAAGTTTATCCAATGAGATATCAGTGAAACTGCCAAAGTAAACTTCCAGGTTCAATCCACAGTCTCTGTTTAGCCAGAACAGTAGCAGATGGACTATGACTGGTCTCACTATAGGTTAGAAATTAGTCTTCTTTTGAAGATCACGAAAAACAGGAGCAGGGGCGTGTGGCCTTTTGAAAATTTTCCACTAGCCAAAAGATCACAGCTGATCTGACTGTGGCCTGAACTCCACTTTCTTGTCTGACTCTTAGCCTCCTCATTCCTTGACTGCTTTTTCAATCAAAAATCTATTATTCAGTCTGAAATATATTCAATGACACAGCCTCCATGGCTCACTGGAGGAAGGAAACTCCATCGTAAATTGAACCTTTATTTTGTAGCTCTAGATTCCCTCATGAAAGTATCCTTTCAGCATCTAGCCCATCAAGCCCCCGTAACAGCTGATTTTTCAGTAAGATCAATACTCACTCACCTGAATGCTGAATATAGATCCCATTTGCTCAAATGTTTTGGTTCTTATCCTGAGCAAGTATATATTCTCAAATTGGATCCAATGTTGTGTATCCTGTTACAGCCAGTCAGCTGACTTTCATTTCAAAACTGATTACGCCATAGATTATATATAACACAAAACATCTAATATGGAATGTTCTGCTTAATGTTTCATGATCAATTCACAAGGGCAAATTTGACCAAACTACTGACCTTACTCCAGTCCACAGATCCCTTGTATTTTCAACCCAAGTTTCCCAAGGACATGATCTCCACGCCAATAGAGCCATTTTCTCCCCCAGTCTGGTCATTTCAGCTAGTAAATATCTCTAACCTAACTCTGATTTCTAAGCAATATCCAATTTGTTTTGAAACTGTTGGAAATTTCATACAAAGTTACCACTCACCTTGATGCCGTGAACATTTTTTATCTGTTATTTTGGTTTCAGGACTTCTTCCAATCATAACACAGACTAAGTGCGCAAGTCGTATTGGTTGGTGCCTCCCATCTTTACTCACCAACCAACAAACTCGCATTATTCTGCAAGACAGAAAATTAGTTACACTCAGAGATATCCCTTATCTTCTAACTGTCCAAGGTCTCTGTATGCCAAATCGTCTCTTGTTCATTATAACTTCCCAATGCTGTATACGATGCATTCAGCTCCAAAGGCCAAAGTTGTGAAATTCCCTCCATGAACCTCTCTATTTCTCTCTCCTTCTTTAAGATGTTCCCTAAGGTATGTCTCTGACAGAGCTGTTGGTCATTTGTCCTATTACCTCCTTACAAGGATCAGTGTTAAGTCTTGTTTCACAATCACTCATAATCACCACAATGTTAAAAACTATAAAGATGTAAGTTTCCATTGTAATGTGTTCAATTATTAAGATCTAAAGCAATTTAGCACTTAAGGATTCATTTATTCTATACAAATCCACAGCTCCAAAATCTAAGAAATACAAATTAACCGTTTTCTTTAATAAAAAATTGGCTACAATTTAACCAACCAGGACATTGGCATTCAACCCTAATCTAAATGAAGTGCTAAGCAAGCTAAAGCAATAACACTGGGTAGGAAACAAATGAATTGTAATTTTATAATCAGTCAAATTGAAAGAAAAAAAAACTTGCATCTTATAGCACCTTTCATAATCCAAAAGTAGCTTAAACCTATTAAATTACTTTAGACGTGTAGCCACAGCTCTAATATAGGAGAGCGGACATCTGATTTGTTCATATCAAGGTCCCATTTACTCCAGTGTCACAGTGAACAGATTACCTTATTGAGGGAGAGAATGGGGTCCCAAATTAAACATCATTGGAAAGAAATCCCTGATAACGTGACACTTCCTCAGTACTGCGTTAGAGTGTTGTCTCAAGACTTCTCGTGAGAAGACTCAAACAATCCCTTTAGGAGACAAAAGTAAACGTCTTTCAGCTTATGGGTAACAGCCATGACTTTTGCAAAGCCACTGAAAATGTTTAAAGTGATGCGGCTTAAATTACAATGCGTAGAAGAGCTAACTAGAATGATCACGGAAGGCAGACCAGTCATTCCTGTGCTGGCTGTCTGAAAACACTAGTCCTACTCTCCTGAGATAGTAGGAACTGCAGATGCTGGAGAATCCAAGATAACAAGGTGTAGAGCTGGATGAACACAGCAGGCCAAGCAGCATCAGAGGAGCAGGAAAGCTGACGTTTCGGGCAGGCTCTACACCTTGTTATCTCAGTCCTACTCTCCTACTTGTTTCCTTTTCATGAGTGTACCCAATTTCCTTCTGAGAGTTATTAATGGGCCTCTACCCACGCTAGTTATTGAACCTAGTCCTACCTGCCTGCATCAGGACTGACAGTCCCTGGAATCAACGGGCCCAAAGGCTCAGCTCAGGAAAGCTGTTCAAATAAAAACCGCAGCCAGCTAACTCCCACACCAGAGCCTGGGAGACACTTTAAAGAGCAAACGTGTCACTTAGGTTTCCCACATTGCTCTACTATTTAACTATTTTTTTCAAAAAGCAATTGAAAGTCTTCTCCGACAAAAATCAACCGCTGCAGGACACTCCCATTGTCCTGCTCCCCGACGTGCACTGCATTAAGATTCCACTGCCACACTCCCCGACGTGCACTGCATTAAGATTCCACTGCCACACTCCCCGACGTGCACTACGACCCCCAGCTTTAGATCACGCATGGGCAACTTGCGCCGCGCATGCGGACGTCATCTTTGTAAGACGGGAGTTTTTTTTGTGTTTTCCCCGGCCACTCTGAATATCTCGTCGGTGAAAAGGCAACCGGCTTAAAATCGACATAGATAGCTGCATCTGAAGTGAGGTGTCGAAAATTCTTTGTCAAACCTTCTCGTTTCCTTCCCTCATTCCCTGACACATTGAGTGTTCGTTGAAAAACCAGACGATGTAGCCGTCTAGAGCCAGGAGCCAGGGACTGATGGCGAGGAAGAGGATCTGAAGATTTTCTGAAGAAGGGTCCAGACCCGAAACGTCAGCCTTCCTGCTCCTCTGATGCTGCTTGGCCTGCTGTGTTCATCCAGCTCTACACCTTGTTATCTCAGAGAATCTCATTTGTTGTTCTGGTCGCAGACCCTTGGTATCATTAACTGTGCTGGCTCTTTGAAAGAGCTTTTCAATTTATCCCAGATCCTCTGCTTATTTGCGGCATAAACCCTGCAAATTCCTCCTTCTCAAATATTTATCTGATTCCCTTTTGAAATTCACTACATTTAATCTGCTTCCTCCTGTCTTTCAGGCAGCCCATCCAGGTCATAACTCACTGTTTTTAAGAAAAGGTGACCTTATTACTCTTGTGTTTTTCCCCCTCTCCACAAATGCTACTTGACCTGATATTGCCAGCATTTTCTCTTTTTAATTACAATTATTTGTTGTTTGGACGATTTAAGAGATAATTTTGACAGAATAAGACAAACAGGAGGCTGGAAGAATACAGCAAGCCAGGCAGCATCTGGAAGAAAGGAGCAGTCAACGTTTCGGTTACTAACTGGATTCTAGCATATGCAAGACAACAAGTGCAGAGCTGGATGAACACAGCAGGCCAAGCAGCATCATAGGTGCAGAAAGGCTGACGTTTCAGGCCTAGACCCTTCATCAGAAATGGGGGAGGGGAAGGGGGTTCTGAAATACCATCCACAACCTCATCACCTCAGGTGACCTCCCACCCACGGCTTCCAACCTCATCGTTCCCCAACCCCGCACCGCCCGCTTCTATCTCCTTCCCAATATCCACAAACCTGAATGCCCTGGTCGACCCATTGTCTCCGCCTGCTCCTGCCCCACCGAACTTATCTCCAACTATCTGGACTTCATTTTCTCCCCCTTGGTCCAGGAACTCCCTACCTATGTCCGTGACACCACCCACACCCTCCACCTCCTCCAAAACTTCCAATTCCCCGGTCCCCAACACCTCATCTTTACCATGGATGTCCAGTCCCTCTACACCTGCATTCCCCATACAGATGGCCTAAAGGCCCTCCGCTTCTTCCTGTCCCGCAGGCCCGACCAGTCCCCCTCCACTGTCATCCTCATCCGCTTAGCCGAACTCGTCCTCACCCTCAACAACTTCTCTTTCAATTCCTCCCACTTCCTACAAACAAAGGGGATGGCCATGGGTACCCGCACGGGCCCAAGCTACGCCTGCCTCTTTGTAGGTTACGTGGAACAATCCCTCTTCCGTACCTACACTGGCCCTAAACCCCACCTCTTCCTCCATTACATTGATGACTGTATCGGCGCCGCCTCGTGCTCCCACGAGGAACTCGAACAGTTCATCCACTTCACCAAGACCTTCCACCCCAACCTTAAGTTTACCTGGACCATCTCTAATACCTCTCTCTCCTTCCTGGACCTTTCTGTCTCCATCTCAGGCAACCACCTAGAAACCGATATTCATTTCAAGCCCACCAACTCCCACAGCTACCTAGAATACTCCTCCTCCCACCCACCTTCCTGCAAAAATGCCATCCCCTATTCCCAATTCCTCCGCCTCCGCCGCATCTGCTCCCAGGATGAGGCATTCCACTCCTGTACATCTCAGTTGTCCTCATTTTTCAAGGACCGTAACTTCCCCCCATCAGTGGTTGAGAACGCCCTCAACCGTGTCTCCCACATTTCCCACAACTCATCCCTCACACCCCGTCCACGCAATAAGAACCAAGAAAGAACCCCCTCGTCCTCTCGTACCACCCCACCAACCTCCGGATCCAACACATCATCCTCCGACACTTCCGCCATCTGCAGTCCGACCCCACCACCAAAGACATCTTTCCCTCCCCACCCCTATCTGCTTTCCGGAGGGACCACTCTCTCCGTGACTCCCTTGTCCGCTCCACACTCCCCTCCAGCCCCACCACACCCAGCACTTTTCCCTGCAACCGCAGGAAGTGCTACACCTGTCCCCATACCTCCTCCCTCACCCCCATCCCAGGCCCCAAGAAGACTTTCCACATCAAGCAGATGTTCACCTGCACATCTGCCAATGTGGTATACTGCATCCGCTGTACCCGTTGTGGCCTCCTCTACATCGGGGAAACCAAGCGGAGGCTTGGGGACCGCTTTGCAGAACACCTATGCTCGGTTCGCAATAAACAACTGCACCTCCCAGTCGCGAACTATTTCAACTCCCCCTCCCATTCCTCAGACGACACGTCCATCCTGGGCCTCCTGCAGTGCCACAACGATGCCACCCGAAGGTTGCAGGAACAGCAACTCATATTCCACTTGGGAACCCTGCAGCCCAATGGTATCAATGTGGATTTCACAAGTTTCAAAATCTCCCCTCCCCCTACCGCATCCCAAAACCAGTCCAGCTCGTCCCCACCTCCCTAATCTGTTCTTCCTCCCACCTATCCCCTCCTCCCACCTCAAGCCGCACTCCCATCTCCTACCTACTAACCTCATCCCGCCCCCTTGACCTGTCTGTCCTCCCTGGACTGACCTATCCCCTCCCTAACTCCCCACCTGCACTCACCTTTACTGGCTCCATCCCCGCCTCTTCGACCTGTTTGTTTCCTCTCCTGTATCCATCTTCTATCTGCCTCCCACTCTCTCCCTATTTATTTCAGAACCCCCTTCCCCTCCCCCATTTCTGATGAAGGGTCTAGGCCCGAAACGTCAGCCTTTCTGCACCTATGATGCTGCTTGGCCTGCAGTGTTCATCCAGCTCTGCACCTTGTTGTCTCGGATTCTCCAGCATCTGCAGTTCCTACTATCTCTAGCATATGGAGATATTTTTTGTCCCTCAACTGAGTAAGACCTAATGATTGATTGCCATACAATTGGCTCAGTGGTTAGCACTGCTGCCTCACAGTACCAGGTACCCAGGTTCAATTCCACCCTCGGGTGATCTTCTGTGTGGAGTTTGCACATTCTCCCCGTGTCTGTATGGGTTTCCTCCGGGTGCTCCTGTTTCCTCCCACAGTCCAAAGATGTGCAGGCTAGGTGGATTGGCCATGTTAAATTGCCAATAGTGTTCAAGGATGTGTAGATTAGGTGGGGGGTGGATCTGGGTGGGATGCTCTGAGGGTCGGTGTGGACTTGTTGGGCCGAAGGGCCTGTTTCCACGCTGTAGGGATTCTATGAATTTATCTAATATTGATGGTGCTGTTCGAGTGTTGGCTATGTCTCAAAAAGTGCAAATGGAAGCTTTAGTAATTAGCTGAAGCATTGGATTAAGCAGTTGGTTCTTGGGTTTGATGTTGCACCAGAGGAGTAGACTTTGAGATGATGCATGACTCCTCCACTATTCCACTGGAATTTTTCACAGAATTGCAGTTTGGTGCGGCCTCAATTAGAAGGAATGTTACAGCACAGAAAGAACCCATTTGAATTGTAGTGTCTCTGAAGGAGCCAATCTCCTGCAAGAGATATAAGATTTTATATATTTTTCATTCTACTGTGAACTGTAGGTTTGTGTGGTGTTTAGTAGGCCAGGAGTTCATTTTTGTGTTTGCTTCAATGATAGATTACTGTTTGCATTGATTAGGCTAAGCGTATTGTGATTAGAGATAGAAATATAAGAGTAGGGAAGTCTTACTGTGACTGTACAAGGTGCTGGTGAGAAAACATCTGGAGTACTTTGAGCAGTTTTATAGACATAGAATCGGGCCCTTCGACCCATAATGTTGTGCCGAACATGACACCAAATGAAACTAATCCCTTCTGCCTGCCATTGGTCCTTATCCCTCCATTCCTTGCATATTCATGTGCTTATCTAAAAGTGCCTTAAATGCTCCGATTGTATCTGCCTCCTCCACCACCCTTGGCAGTGCGTTCCCGACTCCACCACTCTCTGCAAAAAAACACTTGCCTCTCACATCTCCTTTGAACTTGCCCCCTCACCTTAAATGCATGCCCCCTAGTATTAGATATTTCAACTCAGGGAAAGAGATTCTGACCATCAACCCTATCTGTGCATCTTATAATTTATAGACTTCTATCAAGTATCCCCTCAGCCTGCGCCACTCTAGAGAAAACAACCCAGGTTTTTCTAGCCTTTCCTTATAGGGTTATGGGGAAAGTGGATTTAAGGAATGTGTAGGATCAGCCATGATGCTGTTGAATGGCGGAGTAGGCTTGAGGGAACTGAATGGCCTACTCCTGTTTCTTCTGGTAACATTTTGTATGAACGTAACATTTATTTTGACAAAGAGTAATAAATTAGAGCAATTCAGTGTTAATGACTAGATATTTAAAGTGTTTTCTCTTTGGACAGTACCTTCCAAAATAATAATCACAGGACAATGACAGCATACGCATGGGAACACCATCATCTGGTAGTTTTCCTCCACGCCACACACCATCCTGACTTGTAACTATTCTGCCGTCCTTCACTGTTGCTGTGTCAAAATCCCAAATAACAGTGTAACTGTCTACGCCACATGGACTGCAGTGGTTCAAGAAGGTAATTCACCATAACCTTCTCAAGGGCAGTTAGGGACGAGTAATAAATGTTAGCTTAGGCAGTGATGGCTGCATCCCACGACAAGTTTGAGTTTGTCTGTGGAATGTATGCTTAACAATAACTGACTTGAAAATGATAATTCAAAATGACTCATTTGTTTGCATATTTTTGATGCAGTGCTAAACTATGATTATGTTTGTGTTGCCAACAGTGTTACCAAAGACTAATTTAAACT